GCTCCGATCGTGGGCGAGAGGCGAGCACTGCCCTTAACCCTTTCCCCACCACGCCCCCCCCAGGCTGCTACCTTGCCCCTGGCTATCCACGACGCCAAGTGGCACCACATCTGCGTGACCTGGTCGACGCGGGACGGCATCTGGGAGAGCTACCAGGACGGGGTGCGGCGGGGCAGCGGGGAGAACCTGGCCCCCTGGCACCCCATCAAGCCAGGGGGTGTCTTCATCCTGGGGCAGGAGCAGGTACGAGCCCCCCCCCCCCCCCCCCCCCACCCGGGGAGTAGCGCCTCCAGGGTACCCCCCCTTTCCGGATGGCTAATGCCCTCCCTGGTCTACCCCTGGCCTCTCTGCTCCCCCCACAGGACACGCTGGGCGGCCGCTTCGACGCCACGCAGGCCTTCATCGGGGAGCTGGCCGACTTCAACGTGTGGAGCCACGTCCTGGCGCCGGGCGAGGTCTACAGGCTGGCCACCTGCGCCGGCCGCGCCCGCGGGGATCTCGTGGCCTGGGCCGAGGGCGCCGTAGAGCTGCACGGGGGCGTGGCCAAGCTGCCCTTCAACGCCTGCCACTGAGCCCTGCACCACGGGGAGGGGCTGGAGGCCCAGATGCCTGGGTTCTCTCTGGCTCAAGGAGGGGAGCGGGGTCTAGTGGTTAGAGCGGGGGAGCTGGGAGTCAGGACTCCTGGGTTCTCTCTGGCTCAGGGAGGGGACTGGGGTCTAGTGGTTAGAGCAGGGGGGCTGGGAGTCAGGACTCCTGGGTTCTCTCTGGCTCAGGGAGGGGAGTGAGGTCTTGTGGTTAGAGTAGGGAGGGGTGCGAGGGGGCTGGAAATCAGGACTCCTGGGTTCTATCCCCACTGCTGGGAGGGAGGGGAGTGGGGTCTAGTGCGTATGTGTGTGGGAGGTTGGGAGTCAGAACTCCTGGGTTCTCTCCTCAGCTCTGGGAGGGGAGTGGGGTCTAGTGGTTAAAGCGGGGGGGCTGGGAGACCCCCTTCCTCTCTTGTTGTGTATATAGCTGTGGCTCTTCACCTAGGGCTGGGGCGGGCTGTACATACGCTGTAGCCGCTGTCCCGTAGCTCGGCGCTGTTTGACGTAGGATTCGATGCTATTTTTTCCCTCGGAAAGGACAGAATAAACCTGCCAAGGAAGCAGCAGCAGCCCCGGCGCCACCTGCGAGTCAGTGCTTTGTCTGAGCGCGCGCCAAATACCCAACACGCCCCACCCCAGAAGTGGCTGCATCCCATCAGTGGGAAGGGGTCCCAGTGTTCCCTCTAATTTTTTAGGTCAATGTGCAGAATGAATTACAAAATTCATGTGGCAGGGGAGGGGCCGAGGGGTTCGGAGTGTGTGTGGGGATGCAGGCTCTGGGGTGGGGCTGGGGATATGGGGCTGAGGGTGTCGGCTCTGGAGTGGGACCAGGGATGAGGGGTTTGGGGTGCAGGCTCTGGGGTGGGGCCAGGGATGAGGGGCTCAGGGCTGGGGTGTGAGGGCTCCGCTGGGGGTTTGGGGTGCAGGAGGCGGCTCCAGGCTGGGGCAGGGAGAGTGTGAGGGCTCAGGCTGGGGGTGCAGGTGCTAGGGATGAGGAATTTGGGGTGCAGGCTGCCCCAGGGAGAGAGGACTCCCCTCAGCCCTGTCTCACCACAACAGCTTGGGGCCAGGGGAGAGGTGCCTCCCCCGGCCTGCGAGGCCCTTGAGAGCCTGCTGCCCACCCCCGCAGCCTACAGGGAACCTAGGTCCCTGGCTAAGGAGCCCCAACACCAGGCTCCCGCCGCTGGCTGGAGGCAGTGGGGACAGATGGACGTTAGCTAAGGGCTGAGCAAGGCCCCAGGGTGCTCACATCCTGGGCTGCATCAAGCAGCCCCCCGCAGCTCAGTGTAATAGAACCTAAGAGTCCTGGCTCCCAGCCACCACCCGCTGTAGCCACAAGACCCCACTCCCCTCCCAGAGCCAGGATAGAACCGAAGAGTCCCGGCTCCCAGCTCTAACCACTGGGACCCACTCCCCTCCTAGAGCCGGGACATGGGACCCACTCCCTTCCCAGAGCCAGGGACAGAACCCAGGAGTCCTGGTTCCCAGCCCTCTGCTCTAACCACTGGGACCCACTCCCCTCCCAGAGCCAGGGAGAGAACCCAGGAGTCCTGGTTCCCAGCCCCAAACAGGGTTTAAGGTGCCACTGGTTCCAGACCAGTTTGGTGCCCCCTCCGCTAGCTGTCCTGGGTGTTTAATGCCCTGAGTGGATACCCCCCTAGACACCCGGCACCCCCCTGGTTGTACTCAAGACTGTAGTGTTTTAATTCCATTGAAAGTTGCATCCATTAAATCCTTAAATAATAATTACAAAAACCTGATCCCGCCCTGGAGCGGGCACAGGGCTGGCACCAGTTCCCCTCTGTCCACACCAGCGTCCAGGGTGGGGTGAAATCCCCCTGCGCCGGGAGGAGGCAGCAAGTCCAGGGGTCCCAGGCATGGGAGGAGATGGGTCCCGCTAGCTTGGTCCTGTTGCCACGCGGTTGCTGACGAGCCGGGGGGCTCTCCCTGCGATGGCTGATCCTGAAAGGTGATGGTGGGGAGGGGGCACAGAGATTGGTCCCGGTGGGGCAGCCCCACATCTGCTCCCGGTGGCGCCAGGCACGAGGCTGGGCTTTCCGACGGCAGAAGAGTAATCAGAAGGACGAGATTCCACAGCAGGTGAAAGCAAATGGCTTTCGACTTTGGAGGCGGGGTGCTCCCCATACGCCCCCCCGTCTGTAGTGTATGTTCCTGGAGCCCAGAAGGGGTGCATGAAAACGGGGGGGGCTCCGGATGGACCCCAAGCTCTAGGACCAATAGTGTGTACTTGGGGGGGTGGGGGCTACCCCCTGTGGGAAGATTTAAAAATTAGCTGGTGAGGGGCAGGCCAGGGGGCTGGCTAAAATCCCCCCTCCCTGGCCGCCCCGAGGAGGGAAGAACTCCTGTTCTCCCTGCTGGCTGCCAGGGGGCACTGCAGAGGGCCAGCTGGCATTGCCGGGGGCGGGGGGGCAATGCCACCTGGGAATGCCCCCCCACCCCATGCCTGGTGCTGCTGGAATTGGGGGGGGGGGGGGGGGGGAGACCCCAAAGGGACTCTGCTAGTTCCTGGTGCCCAGCGCCACGGTGGGAGCACAGCATTGTGGGTAAATTCCCAGCCAGCTGGAAGGGAAGGGGAGGGGCGGTTGTCTCAGGGGTTGCCAGGCAAGAGCTTATTGCACCTCGGGGCTGATTAGTGTAGACGGGAGCCTGGTGTCAGCCAGTGAAAATCCAGAGACCCGTGAAGGAAAGTGCTGAGGATATGGAGTCAGGGCCTGGGTCAATACGGAGTCACTCCTGTTTGCAATGGGGGCAGGGCCGGATTCGAATCTCAGTTCCCCCAAGGTCGATCCAGAGTCA